GTCAGAGGGAGAAGCAGGCTCCCCACTGAGCCGGGAGCCCGATGTGGGACTTGATCCCAGGACTCTGACCTGAGCCGAAGGCAGTCGCTTAACCAACTGAGCCACCCAGGTGCCCCATAATTTTTAATATTATATATTTATTTAACAAAATCACTCCAGAAATTCATCTGGGACAACTAAACTGAAACTAAAAGACCTGAATTAAATGTTGACTAGGAAAAACCTGAGGGTTGCAAAAGAAAGTACTAGAACTCTGTATAATACATGGTATAAGCAACAAGCCTATGAAATTTGAGGTGCTACAACTTGAGTGAGGGACTAAGTAGTTTAAATACCAGGGCATAGTGTCAGGGTACTACTCAAATCAGAAACTCCAAACTGTAATTTGGTTAGTTATCTTCCTCTCCCAACATCCACTACCTCAAAGAAACACCAAGACCTCCAATTCCAGCATGCTTCATGGTGGGCTGCAGCTGCATGACTCAAAAAGGTGTTTTCTTTAGAACACACAATCATAAAACTATAGCCAGCATCATATACCCGGTGTTCTGACAAACAAAGGGAAACAAGGAGGTAAACTACCTTGTTTTGGCTCTCATGGAAAACAGAATGGAACCATAGGGCCATTCTATTTATTTATTTATTTTAAGATTTTATTTATTTATTTGAGAGAGAGAGAGAGAGCACAAGCAGGGGGAGCAGCAGAGGGACAGGGAGAAGCAGGCTCCCCGCTGAGTAGGGAGCCCGATTCGGGCTCGATCCCAGGACCCTAGGGATCTGAAGCGTCTGACGGCAGACGCTTAACTGACTGAGCCACCCAGGTGCCTCTACTTGACAGTTTTATCTGAGTAAATATACAGGATTCTCCTATGGACATATTTCACTTGAGGATATATATATATTTTTAAAGATATTATTTATTTATCTGACAGACAGAGAGACAGCAAGAGAGGGAACACAAGCAGGGGGAGTGGGAGAGGGAGAAGCAGGCTTCCCGCTGAGCAGGAGCCCCATGTGGGGTTCGATCGTGACCTGAGCCGAAGGCAGACGCTTAACGACTGAGCCACCCAGGTGCCCCGAGGATAATTATTTTTATATGAACTACTGAGGATAATTGCTAATTTCCTTGAATGGACATTATAGCATAAATTCCTTCTCTGCATTTAAATAATCAATTAGTTCACCAGTTGTTAGAGAGGTCCTATGGTAAAACTCTAAATGAATACTGACATAACGTCTTGTCAACGTGCATATGCGTCCTCATGCAAAGGTTATTTATTTGAAATCAGACTTTTCTTAGTTAACAGCAATACATCTTATCTTTTTTTTT